TGAGCAAAGGAAAGAGAAGCTATCATTTGAGAGGAAGATCACTTGTGGAATTTCTCAAGAATTAGTCTTAAGTTTGTTTCTTAATTATTTTGAGGAACTAGGCTACTGACTTTTTTTGCTGACACAGTTTGGGTGCTATTCTTAGTGCACAAACAGGAGGAAATATGGAAAGCTGGATAAGCAAGTGGGCTTCCAAAAAAGTAGACAGATTAAATTCATGATTGCAGAGTTCAAGATCATGTACTCAGGAGCTAATAATTCGTGTAGCAAATCATGAGCTCATTGAATGCAAATAATTGAAGAAACAAAATTCCTAATCTAACAGTCACAGATGGAAAATGCAGTGTGATACGTACATAAAGCTGTGGTCACCTAGATTCAGGATAAGTTATTCCAGATGGGAACAGATGTAAAAAGAGTCTAATAGGACCATTCTAGGAGGGAATTTCTCTTTTGTGAGAAAATATTAGAAGAATTGGCTATTCAGGATAGTAGAATAAATTCTGATACATCTGCTACCTATAAAAAAACAGAGAAGAAAACACCAGGAAATGAAAAGGACTATTTAAATATAAAATTGGCAAGTGAATTAGTAATTATAAAACTTCTACAAATAAATTTAGACTGGCAATCCAAAGACCATTCCAAATCATGAAAAGAATGAAATTCTGTAACTTTGTTTTTTCATAAGAACAGTGGTTGTAAAAAAAACGAGCTATTTTTAAGACAGAATGTGATAAATCAAAAAATGGGATAATGTGAACTGGTGGTGTAAAGATTTTATGCAGGAGGTCTTGGCAAATCCTGTGTATGTCTAATGGTCCTAGAAGGAGAGTGGCATAACTTAATCCACCAGAGAGCCCAGAGGTTAAAAAATAGCCATTACACAGAATTGCAAGTCATTGTTCCCTGCAGATCTTGGTGAACTCATCTATGCTGTCCTGAGTTTTTTATCAGAATTAAATTCAGTTGTAAGACTTACAGCTTTTTCCAGTAATTTTTGTAATCTTAGCCACCGCAGTTACTGGCAATTGATTGCAGATTCCATCTAAAATGTTGGATTAGAGAGAGATTATATATGACAAGAAAAAATATGATGCATCTTCTACTTATTTGCTTTCTCATACCTGCCAGCTGCGACAAACCATACTATGAACAGTAACACACATGTTAGAAACTGTGAAAGGAGAAAAAATCTTGAAAAGTCATGGTTTCAGAAAGCAGGAAAGTCATACAGGGAAGCTGTGCTTGTCTCTGTCACTCTGCCCAGAAACGCTGTTAAATATTTGTAATTCTTTTTTTTTGTAAGTAATTCTGCTCCTTGTCTCCCAGTTATGCATGGAGCTGAGTTAGGTAAGAAGGTGAGTAGGATGTTGATGACACTGGATGCCTTGTCTGCATTAGTTCTGCAGCTACTAATGGAACTGAGAAGTAGGCATTTCAGTAACAGAAATACATCTGTTGTGGGTTAACATTCATAGGCAACTAAGACAGCTCACGCAGCTTGCTCAGACCCCTGCAGCTGCTTGTTCAGTCTCCGCAGGAGGATGGGGAGATAATTGGAAGGGCAAAAATGAGAAAACTCATGCACCAGGATGAAGACAATTTAATAAGTGAAGAAAAACAAACAAGCAAACAAAAAAACTAGTGATGCAAAAGCAACCACTCACCACCAGCTGACCAATGCCCAGCTAGTCTCTGAGCCATAGCCACTTTGGAAAACCCCTCCTCATACCTCCCCTGCCTGGGCTTTTACTGCTGAATGTGATGTTATATGCTACAGTATTCCTTTGCTCAATTCGGGTCCAGTGTCTTGGCCCTGTCACCACTCAGCAACTTGCACACCCCTGTGGCAGAAAAAAAAGGCAGACTTCAAGTTATGTAAACACTGTTCAACAATAGCAAAAGCATTGGTGTATTATCACCACTGTTTGGTCACAAATTGAAAACATAGCACCATATGGGCTGCTTTGAAGAAAACTGACTCCATTCCAGACAGGCCCAGTACAATATCCCATTGTAAAAGGACAACTCAAAACATTCCAGTGCTAATGAGTTAAGTGGTTGGGATTTGCTTTCCTTCACTAAGAGATTGATCAGATGAGGAATAAATTTGTAATTCTTTGGTTCTCTATTTTATTTTAACACATTTTTGCTTCAGTGATTATTTTGTTGCAATGAGGTGGTAAGTTGATGTTTATGACACTTGTCATATGATGTAATATGTTCATCTGTCTAAATCATGACACTAAAACTGGTGAGGCTTCATAACTGGTAGGCTAAACTTCTGTTATGTGCTTAAAAATCTGGAAAAAAAGGTGGTTCACACAATTACACCATTAAGTGCCTTCTATTACTTTCTTATACCAGCCTTGTCTTGTGGGACAGTAATGGACTGGCAAAACCATACCTGTTTTAGTCTTATAGAGAATTCTGCTTCTGCTGTTTTAGCTAAAACAGTACCTCATAATGAATAAGAAAGGCAAAGTTACCTTCCTAAAAGGACAGCTAAATTTTGAAATACCACCTCAGTTTCTATTTCTGGCAGAGCTAAAACTGGGAAGAAGCTGAGTGGAAACTTTTGTATTTTAATCTCTCGCAACCTATGGAGTTTAATATAACAGAGTTCTTACCATATAAGGCTTGTCTGTCACCTGCTAGAAAGATTTTGGCAGTCCCACCATCACTGACAACATCGTGGCCAACGAAAACTCTGTAAAATGCTGTGTGATTTTGTGGCTGCTATTATTGGTCATCAAACTGCATGTCTCTGTCTGACAGTAGCAATTTCTCAGGGGAAAAAATGTGGGGCTTTCAATTCCCTGTTTCTTCACTTTCTTTTCCTGTGGAAACACCATCTGGCCTCTTTCTACATATTGTGAAAAGTAAAACAACTTTTGCTTTGGGGAGAATTTAACTAAATGTTAGAGCCTAAGGATAGGACCACTATTATGACACTGTTTTGAACATTTGAGATGTACTGTCGAGAGATTCTCTTCAGTGTCATCCAAATGCCATGAAACAACAGACTATGTTTTTTAAATTTGATTATAAATAAAAGACTGATATAATATAAAATTGTGGATCTTGTGTATGTTTTGTCTTGGCTTACCAATACATGGTCTGCTCTGAGAACCTATTGACATAAGATGCTGTTCTCTCCTGATTTCCAGCTGTTGAATTGTGTTTAAGTTTCTTAATGCTGTTTTTGCTTGTGAATCACTGGTTAGAGGGGAATATTGCAGGAATATCACCGATTAGAGGTGATTACTGCAGATGATACCAAGATGAGTGGTGCAGTTGATATGCTTGAGTGAAGGAAGAACATTGACAAGCTTGAGGAAAGGGGCCCATGTGAAACTCCTGAAAGTTAATAAGGCCAACTGCAAAATTCTGCACCTCAGTTGGGATATTTTCAATAACAATACAGGCTGGGGGATGAACGGATTGAGAGCAGCCTCACAAGGAGGGACTTGGGCATAGTGGTGGTTGAGAAGTTGTATATGAGCTGTCAACGTCCTCTAGCAGTGCAAGAAAACCAGCTGTATCCTGGGCTGCAAAAAAAGCAAGTGTGACCAGCAGGCTGAAGGAAGAGATTCTCCTGTTATACTCCACACCTGCTAGACTCCACGTGGAGTACTTCATCTCATTTGTGAAGTACTAGAATACTGGAGTACTTCAGAAACTGGATGAAGTACTCCACGTACAAGAAAGATATACAGTACACGAAAGTACAAGAAACATATAGACCTGTTAGAGTGGGTCTGGAGGAGGGCCATGAGAATGGTCAGAGGGCTGGAAAATCTCTGTGAAGAAAGTCTGAAAGAGTTGTGGTTGTTAAGCCTGGAGAAGAGAAGGCTCTAGGGAGACCTTATTGCTGTCTTTCAGTACATAAGCAAACTTATGTGAAAGGTGGAGAAAGACTTTTTGTACCAGGACCTGGACAAGGTCAAGGACAATGGTGTTAAACTAAGATAGACTTATATTGAATTAATGGAAGAAATGTTTTATGATGAGGGTAGTGAGGTTTCCCAGGGAAGTTGTGGATGCCTCATCATGGGAAGTGTTCAGTCAGGTTTCACAAGTCTTTGGATTAGATGATCTTTTGAAGGTCCCTTCCCACTGAGAACTTTTTGTGAGTCTGCAATTCTATGATCACCCATGTAATACAAAAACAGAACTGTCCATAGAATGTAGAATGTTCTCATTTTGTTGTGGATGTATTTAAGGATCCCTTTGCTAATATTCAAATTCCTTACTGTTTCCCCCTTTGACTATGCTACAGTGTAATGTGTAATTTTTCAGTATAATGCATCTTGAATTTTAATGATTTTTCTAAAGTTGTTTTTGTCATCCTATAAGTTGAAGAAAGTACAATGTAAATAAATGTAAACTAGAATATTACAAGGGCCTTAAGCTTAATCCAACAAGAACAATAACTTTCAATGAAGAATATAATGAAACAAATGCACATGTCCATTATATTTTATAATCAAAAGTATGCAGTGCTGCATACCAGAGAGAGAATTCTTAACATTGTAAGTTTAGTAGGAGAAATTGTTCCCAATTAGGACGTTCTGTAAAAAATACTAAGATGCTTTCAGTTAGCGCACAAGTTTTCTAAAGTAGCCAAACCAAAAGCCAACTTCTCTAATTTCAGCTGGGGTCAATAGGTATCTTATCCCTGGTAGAATCAAGATCTTTGCAAGTGTTTGCTGCTTCTTTTTAAACTCTTGCCAAAACCATTGCAGATTAAGGGAAGTGCATTTGAGTGTTACACAGCACTATTGTTGCTTACAGTATTAGTAACCATTGCAGAAAATATTTATTAATCTCTTATTACCAAATTAAGGTCACCAAATTAAGGAGGGTTGTTTTGTTTGGTTTTTTCTTCCTTTTTTTTTTTAATGGACTAAGTATGCCTTTTAGTTTTACTTTCTCCCTTTTAAAATTATATTTATTTATTTAAACATGCTGATTTTATTATCTTTCCCTCACAGGCTGCTTAAAAAATCTCAGAGTGCTCAATGTGAGTTTCAATAATTTGAAGTCAGTTCCTCCAGAACTGGGTGACTGTGAGAATCTAGAAAAACTGGATTTGTCTGGAAATATGGAAATAACAGAGCTCCCATTTGAAGTAAGATAATAAACTATGCTTCTTCAATTTTTTATTCAGCTTATGAGGTATTTTATCACAGTCTTAAAATCTTTTCTTATCAGATTAAATCACATTCCTTGAAGTTTTTATCAATCATATTTTCTTAGTAGTCTCACTGAAAATGCCTTAGCAGCAGTTGAATGAAACCAAGCTTCTTTATTTTGGTTTTCAAGTGACTAAATTTTGCCTGTATTTATTCTGGTATATGCAGGAGGACATGACCTCAAAGGGGATTTGGCCAACAATGATAAGGAGAATGCCGCAAATGGCTATCTTCTGTGAAAGTGAAGTGCGTCTTGACAGTCAAATTCACATACTAACCTTCATTTGTTCCCACTGTCTGTTTTCCTTTAAAAAGAGTATGGAGAGTTCTATAAACAGCACTGCATGTTACTGTGGGCAAAAATGTCTGTCTGAAAATGATCCTACATGTGAGACATGATATGAATATATAATAAAGACTGAGAAAAGGACTCCCAGGCATGCACTGACATTGTATTTTGTGTTGGATGCATAGCTGCCCGTTGCCACAGCAGCTTTGAGAGTTATTGTTCAAGGAGAAATGAAACCATTGGGTGGTACTTAACTACAGTTTCAGATGTCATCCATATTTGTCAGGGTCCTAATATCATGATTCCTGGAGGATGAGCAGGCGAGTCTTTAGGAAGAAGTGTCAGGCTTTTCTTTAGCTATTCCTTTTTCTGAACATCTATTCTGAACATTCTCTGAACATCTATTACTGGTGATTACAGGCAATGTCGAAGCAGACTAAACTTGCGTGAGATACGGTTTGGCCATACTAATGTTCTGCTCCAGGGACATGCAAAAAGTAATTAACTTTCCCTTCTGACTTTTCACTTAAGGTAGAAAATAATTGTTAGAAATGGTGTGCAGGAAACAGAAACAAAGGGTGAACATTAACTTCACATCATAAGTAAACACTGCACAGAATGCTAGCAACAGCATGAATAGTGCAGGTCTTCTTCTTTCTCTCCTCTTCCTTCATACAACAAAGGCAGGGAACAAACCAGGTGAAACTTAACTGGTAAAAGGAACCATAATGGAATCAGAAAAACATATATCCTGAACAGGCAAAGGAATTAAAGCATCTAGGAAATGCTTTAGGAAATGCTTTAAGCACCTAGGAAAACTGAATATATTCAATCCTGTGGACTAGAATGGTGAATTTAAACCCAGTCATTGGTATGTTAAGATCAATGAGCATTTTTGTAGTTGCTTCTAAATGCCCTGTAATGCACAAGGCATAATGCACATGTCTATGCATGTCATGATTTAAGCCCAGCTGGTAACTCAGAACCATGCAGATGCTCACTCACCCCCTACCTTCCCCAGGTGGGATAAGGAGAAGAACAGAAAGAATGTAAAACTCATGGGTTGAGATAAGAACAGTTTAATAGCTAACGTACAATCTATTACTACTACTAAGGGGAATAACAAGGGGAGAGGATATAAAACTAAAAGGGGAAAGGAAAAAAAAACCAGACTAGCAGTGATGCACAATGCAGTTGCTCACTACTTGCTGACTGATACCCAGACTGACCTGAGCAGTGAGCTGGACTGTCTGGGTGACTCCCCCTAGTTTATATACTGGACATGATGTGCTGTGGTATGGAATACCCCTTTGGCTAGTTTGGGTCAGGTGTCCTGTCTCTGCTTCCTACTGGCTTCTTGTACCCCTCCTCACTGGCAGAGTGTAAGAGACTGAAAAATCCTTGATCAGGGTAAGAGCTACTGAGCAACAACTAAAATACTGGTGTGTTACCAGCCTTGTTCTCAGACTAAAGCCAAAACACAGCACTGCACCAGACACTAAGAAGAAAAATAACTCTATCCCATCTGAAACCAGAACAATGCATTGTGGACAGCCTTTGCATGTAAACCTATCTGTGCATGGAAGTCCTTCCAGGGCTGAGTCCTAAGAGAGCAGTCTTTTCCTTGCAAAGCTCAAAAACATTGCTAACTTTTGACAGTCTCTTCTTCAATGAGATTGAAAGACACTAAAACCGAGTGTAGGCTCCTGTATAATGGCTTCCTTACAAGCTATGGAAAAAAACCCTGGAGCTGTACAAATGATGTTATAGAACAGCAAAACCTGGAATCATGTCAACATGGTTTAAAAGGTCAAGAAGAAAAATATCGGCATTGTCTACTGTGTTTCTTTGTTTCTGTGGAGTATAGAATTGATTTATACTTGAAGTGGCCTGGAAGGTGGGCTACACAAACTCTTCTGATTTAGTTTATAAAAACTAAATTTAGTTGACCAGAGTCAATATTTCAAAGACAGCTTTGGAAGCTGAACATACAATTAAACTAACACTTTTGTCAAATGATTAAAATGCTGTAAACTGTTTGGCCTTGGATGCACTCAATATGGTTGACGTTATTCATAGCAATTGGATTGTTAATGGTACTGAAATAATAGGTGTCTGAGGTTTGAATCTCAGATGGACAAAGGTGATAGTCACTGACAGGTAACTAATGAATTAAAATATTGAATTAGTCTGGAAATTCTAAAAAAGGAAAACAGAAAGACACTGTGAAGTGTTACAGTCAGCTAATCTTGGCTAATAGCAAAAATGCCTACCCAGCTGCTCACTTCTTCCCCCTCTTCAGCATGACATCAGGAGAAAATAGGATATGAAAGCTCATGGGTCAAGTTTGTTTACCATTTAATGTTGTGACCAAGAGAGATTGTACTTGGTGAAGGTTAATTTAATATTTGCCAATATGTATGTAGGTAGTGAGAAACAAAGACATTAAAACATATTTTTCTCGCCCTCTCAATGTCACTCATTCTGATTCCCCTCCCAGACCTGAGCAGTGCAAGGGGGTGGGGGGATTTATAGGTAGTTCACAGTGGTTTTGTGCTGCTTCTCCTTCCTCCTCACGCTTTTTGTCTCCTTCAGTGTGGGCTGCCCATGGGCTGCACTTTCTTCAGGAATATCGATCTGCAGCAGCTGTGGGTCTTCCACGAGCTCTGGTGTGGAGATCCTCACCATGGAGCACCTCCTCCAGCTCTGACCTTAATATTCCCTCTATTCGCTCTCATTTTTATTCTCTCTCCCTTTTGTTGCCTTTTTTTCCCTTTCTGTAAAGATATTTTTAAAGTGGCATCACGTGCTTAGCTGCGGAGATCAGGTGTGTTCTGTTGGGGGTCCACTGAAGTCAGCTTGAACTGTGTTCAGCTTGGGGCAGCCCCTGGTGTCTTCCCAGACAGACTACCGTTTCAGCCCTCATACTGCCAACACCTTGCTATGGGCATCCAATACAAGTATTTATGACCCCAGGTTAGAATGATTAGATCAAATATTACCTAATGCAATTGTGGCTAACACAATCCAGTGGAATTTTCATTGGATTGGTCATCACTGTCTTCTGTGGTATGAGTACTGGGAACTGGAGACTGTAAGTGAGCAAGGATGTGCGGGCTGTGATCTGGTAGGTGAATGGGTTCCCTTTACAACATTAAGAAAAGTTGGCAACCTACACACAAAATAAGATAGAAGCTCCTGTTTATCACCTTTTAGAAAGATTAATTTTTATTTGACTTTCAAATCCTTAAAAGTTTCTTCTGGGAAAGCTACAGAAATACATGAGAATAGCAACAGCATTCTCTAATGTTAAACTTACCCAAAAGAAATAAAGGCAAACTTCAGCCCAGCTGAGGTGGTCAAAATCTAATTTTACCTTGGTTTTATACACCGAATAATGGCCAAAGAGATACTGGTAACATATATGAAAATGGATTCAAAGAGATTGATAACATGCCTTTAATTCAGTCAAGAATTTTTCTCAGACCCATTAAAGTTTATGAGATCATCAGAACTCAGAGACTGAATTACATCTTCAGTAATCAATATCCCTTTTCCATTTCTATCCATTTTCTTTATGACAAGGGCAAAAATAGAGCAGTCTTGAAGCTTTTAGTCCATTTGATCATTAAGTTGTTTGCTTTCCTAGGAAAAGAGTTCAGTTTTGGTTTTTGGGAATCATATTTTTGTTGTTATTTTTTGTGTGTTTTTTTTTTTTGTTTTGTTTAATAGACACAAAATACTACATGATGAGCTATTTTAGGGGGAAAAATCTCAATAAGATAGATCATGACTGTAGTTACTACCCAGAAGTGGTAGTGGGTGAACATAAGTTATTACACAAAACCATACAGTGTCACCAAACCCCATTTTGAATTGAAGTCCTTAATTTGTGAAGTCAGCTACCATATATGTGTATAAATTTTTAATGCCATATCAGTTGTTTCTGTGCCTGAATTTGTCAAGTCAGCCACATAAGAAATTCACAGACTGTTATGACGTCTGTTAAGTCTGTTAATTTGTTTTGTAAACAGGGAAACTTCAGGACAGACAAGATGTAAGCTTGTTCTCCTACTGTTTTTCAGGTAAACTACAGTTGTTAAGGAGGTTTCCAGCACATATACTGACTATACTTCTTGCCTTTTTAATCTACCAATTTAATTCTTCAATGCAGGCTTTTTAGGTTGAGGTATGCTATGACTGAGATGCTCTAGCATAACTGAAATCTTGTGTATCTTCGTTCTCTGTTAATAGATTCAATATCTGGTACTGATACATTCGCCTTTTTCACGGTCTGGAGGAAAAAACCCCACCCCAAACCGTAGCGTTCTGCTTGGCCTAATGCAGCCTATGAATTGGCTGTATCAGCCTACTAGGAACATGTATGTCCAGTAGCCAGACTTTTGCAGTATTTCTATTTGGGTGTGCTGTGAAACCATGCTTTGAGTAACATGCCTCATGCAATAGCCTCAGGAGCCAAGCACACTGCTCACTTGTCTGCTTCTTGTAAAAAGCTCTTTCCCTGTTTTCAGAGGCCACTTCTAACACTCTGTAAATTATCTCACTGAATCTTAAAATGAGATAATCTGATGCTCCGTTAAGAAAATGGAGAGTGTGTGTTATCATCTTTTACTTGCACAAGGCTTA